TAGACTGCGGCACATCATACAAAGGAGTGTTACACGGCGATTAGTAAAATGAGGTGGGCGTTTATATAACCTGGATAGCTATTCAAGACCTGTTTTCTGGTGTGTGTGTGTGTCTGTGTGGTGTGGTGGGTGGGGGGGCAAAGACAAGTTGCAGGGCCATCACATGCAGTATGCTACAATTTATTTAAATGAACCTGTAAAAATCACACTATCTTCTCCAGGAGTACAACACATATGCATTTTAAGACATAAGAAATGGTCTGGAAGGCCTCCCATTTAACTGATAGTAATAGTATTCAGCTCTAGTGGGACAGCGATGGAGAACTAACAAAATGACCAGGGTTGGAGGGGGGCTCCAGGGGCACGAGCCTTAAGGACCATGTTTTCTTTCATTTAAAAAAAAGAAAAATGTATTCACAAGTCCTTGGGTGATTAAAAATTGATAACAGTTAAAAAATTAGCCCCAGGCTCTACTGAGCCCTTCCTCTCGGCTGGCAGGGCCGATTCATGACTGACTAACCTTGAATGGGTCTCTGTGACTAAAGGGAAGGGAGGGTCCACTTTTCATCGCCATGCTGTCTGGTCACTTGACCCCTGGGGGCTCCCTTGGCCTTTGGAGGCCTGTCCCATGCCAGGTCCTGAGAGTGAGCACAACGTGGCCAGAGTCCAGTGCGTCAGGGTCCTCCTGCAACTGACCTCCTGGTGACTCAACATGATGGACGGGTCTGCCCAGCACAGTTGACAGAGAACCATGAAAACTGAGCCTGGAGGCTCCAGTCTGAATCTTAGCCCTGCCTCCACCTTCCAGGGAGATGCTGGGCGAGTGCCTGCACCACAGCACATGGCCTTGCCCTGGCTCTGACCGCCTCTCCTGGCATCTCCCCCTCACTCACTCTGTTCCAGCCATGCAGGCTTCCTTTCTGTGCACCCCGCCTCCCACACTTGCCCCAGGCACTCATGGTTGCAGTTCCTTCTGATCTGACCATCTTCTCTCCAATGTCCATGTGACTGGCTCCTTCTCGTGGTTCAGGTCTCGTCTCTAGTGAACGTTCCCGCCTAGAGAGGCCTTCCAAGTCACCTCCCCATCAGTCCCTCTCTCACATGCGCTGTTTTAAATTCCCCTGGAGAATGGAACACTGCCAGAAGTTATGTTGCTCAGTTTGTTCATGCACTTTTATCCACTGAGTGGCCCACTGGAAGTTACAGGCAGTAGGAGCAAGTACCTGTCCTGTCCTCTTCTGGAGCCCAAGCACCAAGAATGGCGTCTGGCACATAGTAGGTGCTCAGTAAAGATTACGGGAATGTGTGACCTTTGCAATCCCAGTGAGAAGAGTGCACTTGGAGAAGAAGGACCCAAGTTTCCTTCCAGTCCCCTCCTGTCAGGAGCCAAATCCCAGAGTCAGGCAGGACTGGACGAAGGGACAAGCCCTGTGGCTCCTCTTCCAAGTCGGCCATTACAAGGCTGAAGTGTGGGCCTGTGACTTAATGCCCAGATGCTCCAATCTGCTCTTCTAGAAGATGAAAGGATTGGGCTAGATGCTTCTTTTCAACTCCCAGCTTTTACTAAGCTATAAAATATAAATGGTTTGTGTCCACGTGCTCAAATCAAGATACATGCTTGAATACACTTTCTTTAATATGCCCTAAATATCATTTTAGTGTGTTTTTTTTTCCATTTTCCTCCTTCTCATAAAAAATGGAATGCAGAGTGTGTGGCAGGATGGTCTCTGGTGCACTGTAATACGGAGCCCTTTATGCAAAATTCATTATTGAATCAAAGGCTGCAGTTTTCTTTTTCTCATTTGTTTCTCTGCTCCCCAAACAATTTTCAGGTTTCACATCTTTATTAGTGTTCTTTGGTCCTTTAGCAGAATGAAAATTCTGTGTAAATAATCATGGGGGCTGTATTTTGAATATGACTAAGTGGGCACACAGAAGAATATTGAATGTTTGTTCCAAAACCCCTCGTTCCAGCACATGGAGTGGGGAGTAAGGGTGAGCTCCTGAATTTCCATGCAGCAGAAAGGAGCCGGGCCAGCCTGGCCTTTGGGGTCAGATTCTGATGTCAGTACTGACCCTCCACTTCTGGCTGGAGAGTTAACTGAGGAGGTGCCTTTGATTTGGAGGCTGGAGGCCAAACGTGTTATGAAGCCTCCTATTGCTGAGAGCTTGCTGTGTTCCAGGCACTGGGCTAAGAGCTTTGACTTCATTATCTCCTTTAACTTCAATTCTTTCAAGTACTCTGTGACTTGGGAATTGTTATCACCCCATTTTTTCAGATAGAGAAACTGAGGCACAGAGAGGGTAAATCAAGTAGGAGTGGAACTTAGATTTAAACCCAGGCTATCTGAGACCAGAGCCTACAGTCTTTCCCACCACCAATACTGGTACATGCGTAGTACAGGATCCTATACCTATTATGCAGTACAGGTCTGGCTCTGCTAGGACAAGTGCAGTTAATAAAAATAATCCCTAACATTCAAGTTTCTAATCAAGATTTTTAAAAGTAGCAATCAATATCAGATTTAAAGAAGATCATAAGCAAGTCAGGTATTATTTATTCCTTAGATAAACACACCAGGACTTGCTATGTGCGAGGAGAATGTATATACTTTGTTGCCCCAAATAGAGAGAGTCCCTGCCCTCCTGGGGATTATAGTCATTTGACATCAGAGGAAATGAAAGCTGAGAGATTTTGTATAATGTGCCTGTTTCCATTCAGCTTGTCTAGGGCAGAACTGACATTCAAATCTAACCACAGGACCCCTCAGCCACTAAATTTCCTGCTCAATGGGAAGTAGTAACTCTCAGGTGTCCAATTTGAACAGCTGCCTATCATCTCTTCCTTTCCTGTGATCTATGGGAACAGTTGAATGATCATTCAATAAATTGCCAAAGATATGGATCAGCATGAGTGGACTGAATAGAGCAGGGTTTCTTGACGGTGGCACCGCTGATATTTTGGGCTGGATCATTCTTTGCGGTGGGGGCTTTCCTGTGCATTGTAGGTGGTTTAGCAGCATCTCTGGCCTCTGCCCACTGGAAGGTAGGAGCCAGCTGTGACAACTAAGAATGTCTCTGGATATTATCATATGTCCCCCTGGAGGCAAAACTGCCTTAGGTTTAGAACCACTAGAATTGAGTAACGAAAAATAAAACACTCACCAAAAAAATCCTCCGTTGCTCCAAGCCAATGATAGTTTTGCATACATGGGACTTACATCATCAGAGGTTAGGAACCCCGATCTCATTCAGTTAAAATAATCCTCGGAGCGACCGGGAAGCCTGGAGCTGTGGGAAGACCATAGTTTCCTCAGGTGAGATTGTTTCCTCTGCAGCTTAAATAACCTGCCTGTGCTGCCCTCTGCTGGTTAAGTCTGTAACTTCATTTTGGTGTGGATCAGAAGATTAAGAAAGGAGAGCTAGGCACTGAAGTCCCCCGGAGTCTACACCCTAATCCTCATCCCTGTGAAAGGAACCCCACAGGCAGTATTTAACAAAATTTCAGCTAATCAAGATCATCTAGGAGGTATATACAGTTTTCCAGTGACTTTCTCTCCAGGGATTTTGACGCCTCTTGTGATGTCAGTGCCTAAGGAGACCTCACAGGCCCCTTTTGGAATTTTTATTTTTGGTAGGGATAGGTACTTAGGTCTATTTATTTTTAGAGGAGGTACCAGGGATTGAACCCATGACCTCGTGCATGCTAAGCATACCCTCCCCCTCCCTCAGGCCCCTTTTAGAGCCCCTCCAACACGCCATACTCAGCCCTGAATTTCTCCTCCTCCTCTCTTCTCCCACCACCTTCTTCTTTTGTTTATTTACATATTTACATATTCACAACAACATATTTCATATGTGAATAACTGTTGCTAGAAACCTCAGATAACACAAAGCACTTTTAAAAGAGAGATAATGCTCTTCTCCCTTCTCCTACCAACCCCACACCCTCACCTGGCTTCAGGAGGCAGGGGTGTTGTCTGCTCTGGGCTCTGCTGACCCCTCATCCAGCCCAGGGCCAGGGGCATGGGGAGGGCCCTGGATGTGCATCTGTGGAGTGAATGAACAAATCACCATCATCAGGCTGATGTGGTCTCTTTCCTATATGTTCAAAGTCACATATATAGTGTGCTTCTGTACATAAGTGGGGCCACACTCTATCACTGTGTGCAAGTTTCTTCAGTTTTTGCATCATAATATGGCTTGGAAATCTTTCCTTGACTCTCCATCTAGACCTGCTTCATTCTTTTTCACTGCTGACTAAATGCACCATCAGTATTTGACTGTTTTCACATTGATGGGCATTGATGTGCCTTCCATTTCTCACTATTTCCAGCCATGCTGCTTGCATGGCCTGTTGGTGCCCGGGTGCGAGTGTCTCCAGGAAAGACACCTGAGGTGGCCTCGCTGGCTGAAAGGGCACCTCCTTCCTGTCCCATTCACTGGGTCAGATGCATAAAACCTGAACTTTTCTTAAAGGTAAGTCGGACTGAGGAGAAATTCCTTTCCCCGGGAGTGGTGGGGAGTGTCAGACCTGGGCTTGTATCCTGTACTTGGTGTGCGTGCACACACACACACACAAACACACCCTCCTGTCCCAGCCTGCTCACTGGGGAACCTAATCTGAAAACATGAACTGATTAGTTTAGCATGGTTTGTGGAAGCATGCTGAGCTGAGAGTCCTGAGGTCTGAGTTCTCATATAGGCTTTGCCATAAAACTGTCTGTAAGTGTTGAACACATAACTCAGTCTTTATGGGCCTCAGTGTCTTTATCTTTAACATGGGCTGGGGAGTGGACCCGTTACTATAAAGACACTTTGACTGCTAACCTTCCAGGGTGAGGCGTCAGTTGCCTGCCCTTGACCTAAGGTTGGCTGTGGGAGCCAAGAAACAGGAAACTGATGTTTTGGCAAGAGCAGTCAGCAGTCCGGGTAAGGTCAGAGCTGGTGGCATGGTGACCTCTGCCCCAGTCAGCAGCCCCACCTCCTCCCTCGAACTGCTGGGCCAGTACCTCGGCTGACCCTTGGCAAGAGAAAAGTCTGGGTAACACCTCACCCCTGGTGCAGTGACCTGTCTGCACCTCTGATGGCAGTCGGGCTACAACACACAGACACTGCTGGGCCCTCCTGGCAGAGTAGTGAGGACCAGGGCCCTGCAGTCCCTTCCCGGGCTCCAGCCCTGACTCTGCTTTGACATGTCAGTGGGTGAGCTGGGACTAGTCACCCAGACTCTTGGTGTCCTGATCTCTAACCTGGGGACAATGTTAGTAAAGCTCTAATGGGGTGTTGTAAGGATTAAGTGAAGTTCTTTTTTCTTTCATTTTTCACTTTCTTGACCAAAATGTATTTATATTATTACATGTAATATAAAAAGAGTTTTCCTCACTAAAATATAAAATTTTAAACAGAGTGTTAGTTATAAAAACCAAAGAACTGGCATCTGGGAGTCTTGATGTGGAGGGTAGAGTAGAAAATAGTTGAGAAATAAGAGGCTGTTGGACTAGGGCTGTAGGTGAGTCTCCAGAAAGAGACCTTTCTTGCCAGGTGGGTCTTTGCTAATGCTGGACAAACGTCATTCTGAAACTTCCACAAGAGTGGGGATCCTGGTCAGTTTCATTCCTTGCTTTGTCCCTGGTGCCTGGAAGAGTGTCCAGCACAAAGTTGGTGTTCTGTAAATATATTTGCTTTTTCTTTCTTTCTTTTGTTTTTTGGTTTTACTGTTCTTATAATTTTCTTTTTCAAAATTACTTTTGTTTTCCAGTTTTGAGATATAGGTGACCTACACTATTGTTTTCATTTTAGGTGTACAACATGATAATCTGTTATATGCATAGAACTGTGAAGTGATCACCACAATAAGTCCAGTTAACATCCATCACCTCACATAATCACAATTTTTTTCTTGTGGTAGGAACTTTTAAGATCTACTCTCTCAACGACTTTCAAGTACACAATACAGCATCATTAACTATAGGCAATATGCTGTACATTACATCCTCAGGACTTATATATATCTTATAACCAGAGGTTTGTACCTTCTGATCACCTTCACCTCCTTTGCCCACCTCCTCATTCCCTCCTCTGGCAACCACTCATCTATTCTCTGAGTTTGTTTTTTTTAGATTTCACATGTAAGTGAGGTCGTGCAGTATTCGTCTCTAACTTATTTCACTTAGCATAATGCCCTCAAGGTCCATCCATGTTGTTGCAAATGGCAGGATTTCCTTCTTTTTCATGGCAAGTAATATTCCATCATATTTATCTATGTCTATATATCACATTTTCTATTTTTCAGTGGATACTTAAGTTGCTTACATGTCTTGGCGATTGTAAATAATGCTGCAATGAACATAAGGGTGCAGATAACTTTTCAAGGAGTGATTTCATTTACTTCAGATACGTACCTAGAAGTGGGATCGCTGGATCCATCTTTCTGAGTGCTCAGACCAAAACATTAGTCACTATTGATGCTTCTCTTTCTCCTACATCCTACACTTAATCCATCTAGAAATCTTTTAGATTTATTTGGATATATCCAGAATCAGAACACTTCTCACCATCTCCACCATCACCGAGGTCCAAGTCAAGGCCAGGAGACTCCACTCCTGCCCTTCTCTCACCCACAGCCCATTTCTACAGAACAGCAAGAGTGATTCTTTGCAAATTGAAGGTCAACATATCAATCTTCTGCTAAAAAATCCTGCAGTGGCTCCACATTTCAGTTAGAGTAAAATGTAATATTTTTGCAATGGCTTACCATGCTTTACAAAACCACAAGCCTCACCTCCCTCTACTCTCTCTGTCCTGGACATTCTCCTTTTGTCGCTCCGGATCCATTCTCCAGACTTTTCCCCTCTCCTTTCCTCATCAGCAGGGTGGCCACAGGAATCTTCAAATGTGCTCCACTGCCTTTTGGCTTGGAGTTAGATCAGTTGGTGGCAGGCTGTGGTACTGGAAGGGGAAATGGGAGCTGAGAGAGGTTGAGGTATTTAGTCTTCTGTTTCCTTCCTTGCCAAGCCTGGTTGTGGCCACGACTGTGCTCCTTCACCAAAGACCACATCTCCTGCCAGCAGCCCTGTCCCACGGCCAGCCCCCTCGAGGTTCCAGAAATCCTGCTCTCTGCTGCCCTCTTCTGGCCTAGAAGTGCTAGAGCCATCAAGCTAGTGCTACCTCTCCAGGGCATGACCTTGATCGTTTGTCTTAACTCTGTGCATAGCTTTGCAAACAGCCTTCTACTTAACACTCCTCAATGACCCCTTTTTAAGGTGCTCTTTGCTTCTTCCCAAACATGATTGATCCCTCACCCTGGCATACTCTGTTCAAGCAACACTTTCTAGCTTGGTCTTCCTCTAGCATGCACTCCTGCCTCAGGTCTCTGCACTGGCTATTCCCATCTCCTGGCATGCTCTTCTCCTGGATGTTCACGCACCCTTCCTCACGTCCTCAAATCTTTGGTCAGTTGTCACCTTCTCAGTGACCACATCTCTCTCTGTCCTAATGAAAACTGCAGCTCTTCTACTCTGGCAGTTCCAATCTTTTTTTTTTTAATTAAAAAAAAGTACATATCCTCTTATAATTCACTACATAATTTATTCATTTATGATTTTTCACTGTCTTTATCCTCTCACTAGACTTTTAGATCCTTGAGGGCAAGGACTTCATCTGTTTTTTTCATTGATGAATCTCCACTACCTAGAATAACACCTGGAACACAGTAGGTGATAAATGCATGTTTGCTGAATGAGAAAAAGTTTGAATACATCCCATTTTGTTCTTATCTCTCAATGGCGCCCACCATGGTTTCCCTTGAAACGTATAACGCAAGTGCATATCTTGTAATTCCAACTAAATTGTGAGCTCTCCAAGAGGAAGAATTATTAGCGTTTATATCTGAGGTTGCAAAGAAAAGGCCCTTGGGCTGGACTTGGCCTGCAGGCAAGTTTGTTTGTACTAAAGTATCGGTCCACACAGTGTTTCAAGTATTATTTTGATTTACCTTTCCAACATTAAAAAAATGGGGATATTCACTTGAAGACATGGATTTCTGGTTTCCATGCCAAATAAGAAAGTCTGGTCATATTTTACAGCATGTTTCTCATTTTATAACAGCTGAGCGGGGTCCTCCTCCTTAGACTGGCCATGTCCCCTCCTGTGCATCAGGGCTATACCTCTTTCTGTTGCTTCTCTGACCTCCTCTAAAGCAGGTGTCACCCAGCCAACTTCACTAACTTATGCAACTGCTTGGCCCTTGTAGACATAGAAGTTTTCAACCCCTGATGGTAAAGCATATCTCAGGGAGACAATAAATGTTTAATGATGGTGAGGTTATACTGATGATGAAGAAATATGGGTTGAATTTCTACTTTTTCTCTTCTTTTCTCTTGTAACTTCTCTTCATCTACTTGTGCTCTCAGTGTTGATGTCTTCAGACACAACTGTGGTTTTCTTTCTTTCAGTTACACTATTTTGCTTTTTGTATTCTCAAATTCTATTATTAGGTGCATACATATTTATGATTGTATGACTCCTGAAGAAGACGTGAAGGAGACTGAAGGAACAGAACGACTCTGAGGAAACTTTCAACCAACATGTGGTTGAAGACTCAAAGGACACTATCAACCAACCTGACATAATTAACATGTATTCGACTTAACAATAGCAAAGTAAACATTCTTTTCAAGTACACATGGAACATTCACCAAAGTAAGTCACATTCTAGGCCACAAAACACACCTCTGCAAATGTATAAGGACTGAAATAACACAAAGCATGTTCTCTGACCATTATAGCATTACACTAGAAATAAAACTAGAGATACAGCCTCCAAAACTCTAAATAATTAGAAATTTAAAAATACACTCTAAATAATAACTCATGGATCAAAGAAGGAATCACACAGGAAATTCTAAAGTACTTTGAGTTAGACAAATGAAAACACCACATGTAAAAATTTGTGTGATACAGCTAAAGAAATGTTTTAGGAACATGTATGACATTAATTACTTTTAAAGAAGAAAAGTTTCAACAGTGATCTTAGCTTAAGCCACCTTAAGAAATTATAAAAAAGAAAGCAAGTTAAACACAAAGGAAGCACAAAGAAAGAAATAAAGATAAGAGCAGAAATCAACAATATGGAAACCAGGAAAATAATAGGGAAAATCCATGAAACTATAATTTATAAATTTCTATCTGTTATGTTCAATTAAAAAAGAGAGAGAGAGAAAATACCAGTTACCAATATCAGAAATGAAAGAGAAGATTTTATTAGAGATCCAATAGAAATTAAAAGGTTAATAAGGGAATAATATGAACAACTTTATACCAATAAATTTGAGAACTTACATGAAATCGAAAAACTGCCTGAAAGATTCAAACTCCCAAAGCTCACTCAGGAAGAAATGGGTAGTCCAAACAATGCTATACCTATTAAAAAATTAAATTTGTGGCTAAAAACTTTCCAACAAAGAAAACTCCTAGTCCACATGAGTTCAGTGGTGAATTTTACCAAACACTTCAGGGAGGAATAATACCAATTCCAGAGAATTTTTTTTTCCAAAAAATGGAAGGGGATGGAATATTTTCCAATTTGTTTTATAAATCCAGTATTAACCTGATACCAAAATTAGACAAAGACATTACATGAAAATAAATCTACAGCCCAAATATCCCTCACAAACAGAGATGCAAAAGCCCTTGGCAAAATAGTAGTAAATTAAATTGAGCAATATATAAAAAGGATAACACATAGTGAAGACGAGAGTTTATCCTTGTAAGGTTAGTTCAGTATTCAAAAATTAATCAATGCAATCACCATATCAACTGATAAAAAGTGATTATCTCAATAGATGCAGAAAAAAGCACTTTGGAAAAAGTCAACATTCATTCATAAAAGAATCTCTCATGAAACTAGAAATAATAGGGAAGTTCTTCAATCTAATAAAGGTCAACTATGAAAATGTATAGCTAACATCATATTTAATGTATAAAAGACTGAATGCTTATCCCTGAGATCAGAAACAAGGCAAAGATATCCACCCTCACTACTATTCAAAGGTGTACTGAAAGAAAGAACAAAAAATAAATAATACTAAGATTAGAAAGGAAGAAATGAAAATTGTCTTCACTTGCAGATGACATGATTATCTAGGTAGGAAATCCTAAAGACTCTACAAACAATATGTCACACCAGTACCCAAACCACAAAACACAGAGATAAGTCTAACAAAATACATGCAAGATTTATGTGCTCACATTTATAAAACATTGATGAGAGAAACTGAACTAGACCTACACAAATGGAAAGACATGCTGCATACGTGGATTTGTCAGTGTTGTCTAGATGTCATTTCTCCCCAGATTGATCTACAGGTTCAATGCAATCTCAGTCAGAGAATCAGCAGTTGGGTGTGAGCTGGCGCACGCTCTGGACACGCCTGACCACTCCAGTGAGGCTCGCGCCCAGGGCATCCTCAACCCTGAAGTGGTCCTCCCAGAATATAAACTGGAACACGATGCAGGCCTCCTTTAAAATGCTCGTGACGTTTCCACGTTGCTTTGAGAATCAAGCTCAGAATCCAAGCAGCCAGAAACACAAGCCTTGTGTTTCATGACCTGGCTCCGCCTTCGCTTAGCCTTCATCTGCTTACTCTCCCCCAAGGAGGCTCCAGGCTTGCTGAAGTTTTCTATTTTGGGACAGATTGATTTAGGAAACTCTTTCTGTCACTAAGTGGAAATCTTTCGTCCTGTTACGCTCACCCTGGATTAGACTCCCAGAGACCACAGAAGTACAATCTCTCATGAGAGCCTTTAAGCACTGAAATGTGACTGTTCCCTCCGAGTTTTTTCTCATGTTTGCTAAATGTCCTCTGTTAACTAAGGTATTCCTTGATGACTTGCTTTGCTGAGTTATTGCCCTTTTCTCAGGAAGTTCCCATCAATAAATGTCTATTTTAGTATCTGTCATCTAGAGCTGAATGCACAGCCCATTAGCCGGCCCAGAGAACAGCAAGGCTCGCCATCTTGTTTTCTGACACAGTAAATCTCCTCATGTGGCCTACATTGCGTTAATGTTTGGTAGCCTCATTTACAGATAAATTCATACTTGGAGCTTGAGGGTGCCTAAAACTCTGACATATTTCTTATATGTGTTGCTTTTAGCTGTTTCCCACTCTGTACTTGTGTCATTGTATTTTAATATTTTTACATTTATTTCATGTGCTTTTTATCTTACTGTGACATTTCCATCGAGGTTTTTGAGATAATGGTGAATTCTGATTCTGTTTTCCTATTCACCGTCTGTCCAACCTCAACAATGACTCTGACCAGCTCATGTCCAGGAGGTCCTCAACAAGTCCCTTAAACATCTCTTAATACTCTCCACTCTGCTCTCCCTGCAGTACCACAGCTTAGTTTGATCTGCCTTCATCCAGAAATAGAATGCTTATCCTAGCTGGTCCCACACATCTATTCCTGCCCCCTCTGGTCTCTTCTCCACACTGAAGCCAGGCTAATCTCTACGAAACAGAGAAATTAGTTCACAATGTCCCTCTGCTTAAAGCACTACAAAACTCCTATTGTTCATATCCCTTACGTACTCTACCAGCTTCCTACATCAGCATTCATTCATTCACTCAATATTTCTTGGTACCTACATGAGGCAGGCATGGCTCTAGGCACTGGAGACACAGCTGTGAGCAAAATAACACAAATTCTCTGCCCTCATAGAGCTTACATTCTAGCAGATGAATGCAGCTCCTCAGGGCTCCCTGTGCCCTCGCCTCGGCTCACTGGCCTTTCATTCCTTCACACTAGTCGTATTCCCCCCTGGAACAGGGCTTTGGAGGGACACACTGGTCCCTCTCTCTGGAATTCTTCTTCCCTCTTGTCTTTGTAACTCTTACGTATCTTTCAGATATTAACTTAAAAGTTACTTCTGCAGGGAAGTCTTCCTTGATTTTGCCACCTAGATGAAAGTCGCCTTTGATGTGCTCTTACAGGACTTCCCTTTCGCCCTGTCACAGCCGTTACTGCACAACCATTTTTCTGACACTTTGACTGACCTCTCAGTCCTCAATGGACTGTGGGTTTTTTGAGGGCAGGGGCTCTGTTTTCACTCAACAGTGTCACTCAGTGTTCAGTACAGAGTAGGCACTCATTCAACATTATTTAAAGAAATGAATTTATGCCTTCATCCAAGACTATTAAAATTTGGCCTGGAATGGAATGAGAGCCGTGACTAAGAACCTGCTCTGAACATAGCATCCAAGAGAGCAAGGAAGTAACTTATTAGTAGTCTTTAAATCAGTCATCAGTCTGTCTAACCTTATTTGGATTCAGCCCACACTTTTTCCCATCTCATTTGCAAGATCTCATGGGAGGCTTTTCCAAAGTTCAGCTCACTATGTCATCTGCTCTGCTGACTATCCAAAAGGCAAATGAGGTTTGTTTCATGCAACTAAATTTCATTCATGCACAGCCTCAACATACTTGGCCCCCCATCCTCTCACCTGTAAGATGCTGGGCTACATCAGGTGATTTCTAGGATTCCTTCTGACCAAGAATTTGGGAGCCAGGACTGGGGATTGGCTCGCTGATGCTGCTGGGGGTGAGGTGAGACGCTGCGCCCACAGCTCCAGCTTCACCCAGACAACCAAGGGAGGTGTTTGCAGAGAGAGGCTGGGTGGGGAGCCCTTTCCCAGTGGCAGGCAGGTCAGTGTGGGCCAGGCCAGTCAGGGAGGGAGCAAGAACAGCAGCCTTGATTCCTGGGATGCTCTCTGCCCTCCTCCCCAACCCTGACCACCCCGACAAGAACCATACTGTGTGCCTCAATCCTAGAATGTGTGGAATGTGCCACAGCCTGATAGGCATAAGTGATCTGCAGAGAGGCAGGGAGGAGCTCTGCTCCCTAGTCAGAGGCCTGACAGTGCAAGGACTATGGGTCCTGAGGGCTGGGCTGCCCCTCCCATCCTCCCTGGGCCTCCTGCTGCAGCCAGGATATCAAAGGCTGCACTGTGCTTTGAGAAGGACTTCGAGTCCCTCATGTTTCTGGCAGGAGTTGGAGGAGGGACATCGTTAGCAAGGTGCCCCCCCAACACCATTCAGGCCGATGGCAGTTGGTACCTCAGCCCTGAAAGGGTGGTGCAGACAGAGGTGGCTATCTCTGCATCCCTGGGTCAGAGGGATGTAGAGCCTGTTTTTCCAAAGAAATAGTTCTTTGGTTTTGTTGATATTCTCTATTTTGCCCCAGTTTTACTGAGATAAAATGGACACACAATGCTGTATAAGTCTGTGCACAGCACAACTATTTGACTTACATATATTGTGAAATGATCATCGCAGTAAGTTTAGTTAACATCTATTTATTTGTTCAACTTCTATTTGATTTCTGCTCTTACTTGTACTATTTTCTTTCTTCCTTCTCCTTACTTTTTGCTTAATTTGACTTGCTTAGGTAATTGATTTGAGACTTTCTTTTCTTCTCATATAAGCACCTAATGTTATAAAGTTCCCTTTCTAAAGCACTGCTTTTGTTGCATTCCCAAATTTTGACAGGTTGTATTTTTATTTTATTACATTCGGACTATTTTCTAGTTTCCTTCATGATTTCTCCTACATCCCCTGAGTTATTTAGGAGTGTTCTATTTAATTTGCACATATTCGGGGATTTTCCAGGTACATCTCTTTGATTAATTTCTAATTTAATTCCTCTGTCTTCAGAGAACCTACTCGTATGCTTTCAATCCTTCAAGTAACTTGATATTTGTTTTTTTGTCCCAGAATATGTACTTTCTTGGTGAATGTTTCACATGCATTTGAAAGGAACGTCTATTTTGATTGGGGGAGGGCATTGTTATATAAAATTCAACTAGGTCAAGTTGATTAAAAGCGTTGTTCAAGTCTTCTGTATCCTTACTGATTTTTTTTTTCTGGTCTAATGTTCTATTCATTACTGAAAGAGAACTGCTGAAATATCCAACTAAAATGGTAGATTGTTTTCTAGTTCTTTCAGTTTTGTTACTTATTGCCTCGTGTATTTTAAGCTGTGCTGTTAGCTGCACACACTTCTAATATTGTATGTCTTTTTAATGAATTAACTCCTTTATTATTAGGAAGTATCCCTATTTATTCCTGGTTATATTCCTTGCTCTGAAGCTTACTGAACTGATGGTACTACAGGCATGCCAACTTTCCTTTGATATTTAAATAGCATTTCCTTTTTCATCCTTTTACTTCTATCCTAGTTATGTCTTTATATTTATGTATCTAGGTTCCTTTCTTCAGTCAGGCAATCTCTGAATTTTAAATGAGGGTGATTAGTTTTATTTATTTATTTATTTATTCATTTATTCATTCATTCACTTATTCATTTATTCATTTAATAGAGGTACTGGGGATTGAACCCAGGACCTCGTGCATGCGAAGCATGTGCTCTACCACTGAGCTATATCCTCCCCATTAAATGGAGAGTTTAGGCCATTTTCATTTAATGTAATTATTACTCGGTTGGGTTTAACTCTATCATCTTGTCATTATGTTTTTTTGTTTCCATTTGTTCTTTGTTCCTTTTTTTCAATGGAATCTTCAAATTTATCCAGTTGAATTTTGTTTTTTAACAGGATTATTTTATTATTATAAGGTGTTCACATTACCTGTGAAGTGGTATAGTGTATTTGAAAGTGGACTTGGATTAGTTGTAGGTGTATACTGCAAACTCTAGGGAACCCACTAAAAACAAAACAGATGTATAACTGATATGCTAAGAAAGAAGAGAAAATGAAATCATATAAAATGCTCAGTTAAAACCACAAGAGGTAGAAAAAGAGTGGAAGACATAAATAGGACCAAAGAATAAAGATAGCAAGTAGAAACAGTAACAAATATGGTAGACATTAATTTAAATATATCAATAGTTGCTTTAAATTTCAATTGTCTACATGTACCAATTAAAGACAGAATTGATTAAAAAAAATGACCCAACTACACATTGTCTACAACAAGCCCACTTTAAATAGAAAGACACATGTAGATTAAAAGTAAATGGGTGGAGAAAAATAGACCATGATAACATTAACTGAACTATTAATTTTAGAAGTCCTTCATGATGCGATAAGGCAAGAAAAGGAGGCAAAAGGTATACAGATTCGGAAGTGAGACTGAAGACACTGTTCACAGATGATATGATCATCTACACAGACAACTGAAAAGAATCAGTAGAAACTCCTGGAACTAATAAGCAATTTCAGCAGGGTTGTAAGATATAAGGTTAACATACAAAAGTCAATGGCTTTTCTAAATGCCAACAATGAACAAGTGGAATTTGAAATTAAAACCACAATACCATTTATATTAGTACCTCCAATGTGAAATATTTACGTGTACCAGATCTATATGAGAAAGTCTATAAAAGTCTGATGAATAAAGTCAAAGAAGAACTAAATAAATGGAGAGAGATTCTGTGTTCATGCATAGGAAGATTCAATAGCGTCAAGATGTCAGTTCTTCTGAACTTGATCTACAGATTCAGCAGAATCCCAATCAAAATTCTAGCAAGTTATTTTAAGGATATCGACAAATTGACTCTAAAGTTTATATAGAGGCGCAAATGATTAAGAACAGCCAATACAATATTGAAGAAGAATAACAAAGTTGGAGAACTGACACTGCCTGACTTCAAGGTTCACTATAAAGCTACAGTAATCAAAACAGTTTGGTACTGGCGAAAGAAAAGACAAATATATCAATGGAACAGAATAGAGAGCCCAGGAAATAAGACTCTCATAAATACAGTCAACCGATCTTTGACAAAGGAGCAAAGGCAGTACAGTGGAGGGAAAGTAGTCTTTTCAACAAATGGAGCTGGAACCACTGAACATCTAGACCTGTGTCTATTCTAGGTATAGACTTTATAATCTTCCCATTAATTAACTCAAAATGGATCATAGACTTAGGCGTTAAATGTGTAACTACAGAACTCCGAGCAGAGAACCTAGGAGAAGACCGACAAGACTTTGGGTATTGAGATGCCTTTTTAGATTCAATACCAAAGACATGATCCATAGAAGAAATGAATAATAAGCCAAACTTCATTAAGTTAAAAACTTCTGCCTCCAGAAAAGACATTGCCAAGAGAATGAAGAGACAAGCCAGAGGCTAAAAAGAAATATTTGCAAAAGACACATCTGATAAAGGATTGTTATCCCAAATATACAAATAACACTTAAAACTCAACAATAAGAAAACAAACAACCCAATTAAAAATGGTCCAAAGACCTTAATGGACACTTCACCAAAGAAGACACACAGATGGCAAATAAGCATATGAAAAGATGCTCCACATGATACATCATCAGAGAAATGCAAATTAATACCACTACACACCAATTCGAATGCCCCAAATCCAGAACACTGACAACACCAAATGCTAGAGGGAACGTGGAGCAACAGGAACTCTCATACATTGCTAGTGAGAATGCAAATAGTACAACCACTTTGGAAGACAGTTTGGCAGCTTCTTACAAAACTAAACATACTCTTACCATATGATCTAGCAATTACACTTCTTAGCGTTAACCCAAAGGAATCAAAAAAGTATGCTCACACAAAAACCTGCACAAGGATGTTTACAGCAGGTTTATTCATAATTGCCAAAACGTGGAAGCAACCAGGATGTCCTTCAGGAGGTGAACAAACTGTGGCATAATCCAGACAATAGAGTAATTTGCTGACCCCACCTTGCTCCTTGGCTACAAATCTCCACTTGTCCCTGTTGCATTTGGAGTTGAGCCTGCAAAATCCCACTGCAGTAGACTCTTCCTGAATAAAGTCTTCTTTACCATCTTTAACAACTGTCATAAATAGTTTTTCTTTAGTATCAATTCCAAAGGCCACTGACTTCTCAATACAAACCATAAGGGTCAGTAGACTGTAAAATAACATTAATTAAAAGAGAGAGACTGTCAGAATTGATTGTAAAGACAGTAATGCCCAATTGTATGCTATTGACCAGATACATATACTTTAAATTCAAAGATAAGGTAAAAGCAGTTGGATTGAAAAGATATCATGTAAGCTGTAAGTGTAATAAGGTTGGAGTGGCTGAAATTGTACACAAAAAGACATATAATCATTATTAATACATGTACTGAAAAATAGATCTTTAAAATATACAACGAAGCAGTTGAGAGAATCAAAGGGAGAAATAGAAATTCTATAATCGCAATTGGGGATCTTAACACCCTCTCTCAACAATTAAATAGCACACAATTGGAGGAACCCCCAAACCGTAAAAATAAAGATGACCTGTAAATCACACAATCATTTTACGTAATTAATATTTCTGCAACACTATATCCTGTAACTATAGAATAGACATTATTTTCCTCATGTACTTGGTACATTCACCAAGATAAACCAAATTTGGGAAGATTATTACTCATGCTTAGACTCATATATCATCTGCAGATGAGCTAGACACCACAACAAAACACATCTGTGCAAGGACATTAACTTTGTGACATTTACTTGCTTACAAATCTTCCATCACTCAGCATTTCCTACAAGGTTAATTTAAATCTCTTCAGGCGGACATACAAAACGCTGCACAGTCTGGATGCCATTTTCACCCTCATGTCATGACTCATTATACTCCATTTCATATCATTTTTTTGGCCACAGTTAACATGGACTCTGT